ATATATATAAATATATATACACATACATCTATACACATATATATATATATATACACATACACATATATATACACATACATATACACATACATACATATATATATATATATATATATATATATATATACACACATACATATATGTAAGAAGGCAGCAGACCAAGATGTGATTTAACAATTAAAATGTACCAGTGAGAGAGTCTTCGTAAAGTTAATGATGTCCAGTTAACCAGTGAATACAGAGTGCAGTGATGGGTACGATAATCACAGCCAGTTATGAATCTTAGTGCACCGTGATAGACAGCATCCAACATCTGCAGGGTTCTTTTAGGAGCATTCATTTAAATAATGTCACTGTAATCAATGGAGGGAAGGAAAGTCGCAGTTACAAGGTGTTTCCTAGCATTCAGAGTTGGACAGGATATATTCCTGAAAAAGAAACCCAGTTTAACTTTCAGTTTCTTTACTAGGTTTTCCACGTGAAGCTTAAAAGAGAGATGCGAGTCGACCAAGATACCCAAATATTTATAGGAATCAGCAAACTCAATAGGGACACCAATTAAGGATAAAATCGTAGGAAGAACTGCTGGGACCGACTTCCTGTTTGAAAAAAACATCCCTTTGGTTTTGTCGGCATTTAAGACAAGTTTGAGGAGGAACAAATCAGACTGGATGATGTCAAACGCAGATTGCAAAAGCTGGAAAGCCTTAGCAACTGTTTTAGCTTGACAATAAACAACTGTGTCATCAGCATAGAAATGTATGGATGCATCAGGAATGCTCTGACCTACATTACCTATGTAGATTGTAAAGAGGGTGGGTCCTAAGACTTGTGGTACACCATTGTTGACTGTTAAATAACTGGAGGAAGTACCATAATGTTGAACACATTGCCTCCAATCTGAGAGATAGTAAGAGAACCAACCGATGGTGTGATCTGAGAAACCAATTTCTGAGAGCTTATGACACAAGATGTTATGATCCACAGTGTCAAAAGCTTTAGACAGGTCTAAGAAAAGTGCAGCACAATAATCCTTTGCATGCAGTGCTTCAGCAACGTCATTAAGAACCTTCAGTGAAGCAGTCATTGTGCTGTGTTGTTTCCTGAAACCAGATTGATGGAGAGGTAAGATGTTAAATGAGTCCAGGTAATTTCTGATTTGAGAGTTTATCAGTTTTTCTAGAACCTTGGCTAAAATGCAGAGTTTAGAGATTGGCCGATAGTTGTTTAGTGAGGTGGGGTCACCTCCATTCAGCAAAGGAAGAACAAAGGCTGTTTTCCAAGCGTCTGGAATGGAGTTTTGGCTTATGGAGAGATTAAAGATGTAGGTCACAGGGACTGTGATGATATGAGCGACCAGCATTAAGAAATAAGGTGGAAGTTCATCTGGTCCTGCAGATTTTTTAGGATCTAGACCTTTTAACAGTTTATTTACCTCACTGACTGAGAATGGAGAAAAAGAGAAGGTGTGATTAACTGAGGATTGACTTGTACGAGGGATTTGATTTGTACAAGTTTGGTTATTAAGTGAAGTGGTTGATTTTTCATTAGTAATTGTGTCAAAAAAAGAACTAGAAGCGATAGTGGACATGCATCTAAGATGAAAATTTCAGACCCCTCCATGATTTCTAAGTGGGAGAACTTGCAAAGTCGCAGGGTGTTCAAATACTTATTTTCCTCACTGTAGCAAACTTAATCCACACTTACTGTTTTAATTAAGAGGACAATTAGCAGTCAAATGCTAATGATCAAATCTACTTGATTAACTGAACCTCAGCAAGTGTGAGCACTTCTATAAAATCCAATGTTCTGACAGTTTTCAGGCTTTTGTTGGTGAACAAAACTCCCATCAGATAAGACATTGGGAATAATCTTAGAGACACAGTTGTCACATCAATCAGAATGGGTTACATTCATATTCAGGACAGATGTTAATCTTTGTAGGATTAAACATCCGAGCAAGTTCCCTCCAAGGTTACAGAGCTACGTCTCAAGTAGAGTTGCATTTGGGCCCAAAAAAATCGACCCCTACCCGGCCCCAACCTGTAGCCATTATTTCCGAACCCCACCAGACCCAACGGATTAACAGTAGGTCAGACCCCCCCCCCCCCCCGACATTTTTAATAAAGCTTTGACTGCTTATATAATTGTTAACGGTCGACGGATGCACGGCTGAATCAAAGGTAGGGCTGAGTACTGAACCGAGGTTATTTTATGGCACCGACCGAACTGCACTGGTCGGTGTATGGACTAAACGTCACTTTCCTTTCGGTGTCAAGTTTCGGTATTGGCTGTAACGTGTCATGTGGTTTCAGCATGCCGGCAGGTAAAACACCAGACATAACAGAATACCTGTTTACATCCAGAGCTGTATAGAGCTGCCCTACAGCTTGTATGTCTATAGTGCTGGTTACGCCCACAGACGGGGTTCACGTGTGCAGCATGTGTGGTGTCGAACGGCTTCAATTTACTAATGGAAAGTTGCTCCGTGTTTATCTTCAAGGGGGACCGCAGTCTCCCCCCTCCTCTCTCAGCATTAAAGTCAGCCTGTGAGTGTTAGAGAGCAAAGAAGGGCCTGATTCATTTTCTCCACGACCGGACTCCTCTTCATCAAAGAACTCCGAGGACGGAGCTGTGTCTGTGTTTCAGCCGGTAAGTTTACGTTTGTTAACGTTACTGCAGCTTAACAAGTGCATCGCTGAGAGTTAAACTAGGATCCATGTCACGCTAACTTAAAGATATTAGTGTGTAGCTGTATTTTATATATGTAGCTAGCTAAACTCAGAAGCTAACTAACTAACCAACTAAAGATTTACAGTAACAGATAAAGCTTGTGCTCATCCGTCATGTCAGCTGGTTAAACAGTTCACCTCATGCTCACTGTTTATGTTCTCCTCACAGGAGGTTCTAGTCCTGATATGAGGAGGACAGACAAAAGAAAAGTGAGATGGGGGCCACAGGACAGTCACAAACTTTGTTGTTAAAGTTTGCTGCTTTTAACTACAGTGGAGGCTGCATAGTGGAGGTAAGAAAGCTGTAAGCGATATTGATGACCAGTTAAGCTTTTATCTCTCAGCCTAGATAATGTTTTTTGAGCAATAATAACACAACCATGTTATTGTTGATGTTTTGTGTTTTCATGTCAATTAGGGAGATGATAAGAGCCCTAAACCCCAGAAAACCACAGAGAAGATTCAGGAAGAGACACAGAGGTGCAGAAGTCTGTATCAACCCTAACCTCAGTGAATCCAGTGACCTGCTGGTGGAATGTGAGGGACAATATGTCAGTGCTATCAAACTTGGCAACCAGGGATCTGTGTGTGCAACAAGCATCATCCACACCCTCAGAGTGAACATTTCCCACTGCTGGAGACACCATCAGCCAGGAGTGGGCTTGTTTGTGTCCAGAGAAAGCAGACATGTTGATTTTTCTGAAGAAAAACTGTTAAGTGAAAAGGTCCTCAGTGTGTAGCTGTGAGCATTAGACACTGACGTGTCACTGGTTTGAAACTGGTCTTCTGACCTGAAAATTATTTATTTTTATGTAAGAAAACTGTTTGGAATAGAAAAATACCTAATTTAAAAAATAAAACTCAAGATTTGTACTGTAATGTGCAACATAACTTTATTCTTGTAAGAAAATTAATTACAAAATTGGTACCGGATAAAGAACCATCCAGGAACCGACCCCAAAGTGAAGGTACAGACACCGGTACCGATACCGATTTTTTTTTACAAAGGTACCCAGCCCTAATCAAAGGGGGCAGAATATCAGAGCTGAAGGGGTATTTGTCCTTTCATGGCTGTCAAAGTGCATTAAATCCCTACATTCTGCATTATTCAGACACAGATCCTACTCTGACATGTCTGCTTTGGGATCTCACCTGTTTAGGTAGTCGGCCGCACACGTCCGCTGAGTGCAGCGGCTGAACATCCATTTGGGCGATGGATCGCTTCCTGGCAGTCGTCCATCTGAAGCTTAACTGAACTTTATTTTACTGGTACCTCTTTCAAGGCCGGTCCGCTCGTGGTCAAATGGCCGCGTGCAGCTGGTGATAGTTTGGCAAAGCCATGTTGCCATATAATTGGATCGCCAGCCGCACACGTCCACTGATGCAATCAAAAGCCAGGCACCGACCCGGCCCACCCATCCAGCACATTATTATGGTCCAGCCCAGCCCAAATTCGGGTCAGGTCAGGCTTCGGGCCCGGGTTAGAAATGACAACTTAAGAAACTTCAAGCCTCAGTTATCTGGTAAAACTTAAAAGTTTATGACTGAACAAGTATAAAGTGCATAGTTGCACCTAAACAAACTACAAGACATCTGGAATGTCTTTTGAAATATAAATAAATTAATAAAAGAACAAAACAACAAATGCAGCAGCAAAACAGATAGGTTTGACCCTAAAAGATTGATTCTGCTACTGCTAATGCATGCTGTTCTTTAGACAGATATACATATTTAATGGACAAACATTTTCAGATGTTGGCTTAAAGATCTGGTTTAACAATAATAACAAAATCAAAGAGATGTTGTTTTCAAATAGGAAGTTGAATCCAGCAGTTCTTCCTTCGATTTTATCCTCAAATGGTGTTCCTATTGAGTTTATCAATGTTTATAAATACTTGGGTAGTTTGGTCAATTCGCATCTCTCTTTTAAGATCCACGTGGTAAACTTGGTGAGGAAACTGAAAGTTAAATTGGGTTTCTTTTTCAGAAACAGATCCTATCTAACTGAACACTAGGAAACACCTTGTTGCGACTTTCCTTCCCTCCATTGACTATGGAGACATTATTTACATGAGCGCTCCTACAAGCACCTTGCAGATGTTG